GAATAAGTCATTGATTTTACAAAATTCAATCATTCTATCTCCAGCCTCATTCCTGTCACCAAGCCCATGCCTTCCAACAGCCGATTCTTCTTCACTATTCCCAACTTTTGCATTCCAGTCACCCATTATTATCAATGCATCTTGATTGCATGTTCGATCTATCTCCGACTGTAAAAGACATCCAGATCAGCAAAGAGATGGTTAAACTATTGCTATATGCAGATGATATATTAGTGTACACAGAAAACCCCAAGGACTCAACAACAACACAACAACAACAAAACCCCTTAGCTAGTAGACTAGTAGAGTGGCAGGATATCAGATCAATATCCAAAAGGCAGTGGAATTTCTCTACAGTAAGAAAGATAACTTGGAGAAGGAAACCAAGTAAACAATACCATTTGCAATAGCCAACTAAAAATTGATATACTTGGGAATGAACCTAAGTAGAGATACAAAAGACCTGTACAAAGAAAACTACAGAAAATTTCAGCAAGACAAAATAAAAGACTTAAAGAAATGGAAAAATGTTCCCTCTTCATGAATAGGAAGACTTAATATTTTGAAAATGACAATCCAGCAAAAGCAATCTACGTATTCAGTGCAATCCCAGTACAGATACCAAACTCATTTTTTAAGGAGATTGAAAGGGAAATTGTCAGATTTGGAGAGGCAAGAGACTTCCGATAAGCAAAACACTTCTTTTCTAAAAATGCAGTGGGAGGTAGAGCACTCCTTGACCTCAAAACCTGCTATGGTAGTAACCAAAACAGCATGATACTGGTACAAGGACAGGCACATAGATCAGTGAAAGAGTTGAGAACCCAGAAATAGACCCACCTATCTATGGCCAACTAATATTTGACAGGGAAATAAAATCTGTCAAATGGGGAAATGACAATCTCTTCAAATGATGCTGGCAAAACTGGACTGCTACCTGCAGAAAGCTGAAACAGGATTTAAATCTCACACCATACACAAAAAAATCACCTCAAGGTGAATAAAAGACTTGGGAGTAAAGCCCAAAACCATAAAGTTCATAAGAGACAAACTTGGATCAAGTTTAGAAGCCCTAATCTACAGTATAAAGAGAGACTGCCAAATGTAACCAAAAATGTACAATATTAAGAGGATAAAATTACTGAATGGGACCTTCTAAAAATTAAATCCCTGTGTTCATCAAAAACTTTTTCCAGCAGGGTGAGAAGAAAAGCTACTGACTGGGAACGAACATTTGACAATACCATCTCAGACAAGAGTCTTATAATGAAAGTTTATAGAATATTCTTGGGCTTCTGCAATGTTTTTGAGGCCACCAGCTGCTCTGTAGTAGAAGGATGGACAGTGTGCTCCAGTGCAATTAACTGCCTTTGAAAACTCACCAAAGGGTCAGCTATACGTCAGTTTCAACTCTAGGGTACACAACAAGAAGAGTGCATGAGAATGATTGTAATGAAATAATGTAAATGAAGAATAGTGTGAAATACAATGTATATGAACTTTGTAAGCAAACCAATAAATTAAAATATAAAACATAAAACAAAAGAACTAAAGGAGGAAAACATAAATCTGTAACATAATTGATAGCTTTAATATTCTTGTCAATTCTATGTAAATGTTTACTGAACATTTTTTTACATTTTGCCCTTTGCCATTTTTAGCTATTTCATGGAGCTAAAATTACAAAAGATCATAGCTAGGTTTTGAGAGGTTCCTTAGTTAATTTGTGCAAATCTTAGATAGGCAAATGATGTGTCAAATTTTGATCTGCCTAATGGTGGTGTCTTCTCTGGTAGTTTATATCCACCTGTTGCTCAGTGGAAGAAGGATGAATAATTTCCTTCTTTGCAATTTACAATCTCTAAAAACACATAGGAGCGTCAGCTATGAGTCAGTTCAACTCAACGGCAGTGAGTTTGAGTTTTGAGTAATGTACAGACATAAGGAGTCTTGGTGGCACAGTGGTTCATTTCAGTTCATAATGACCTCATACGGCAGATTAGAATTACTCCTTGAGGTTTTCTTAGCAGTCATCTTCATAGTAACAGATTGTCACGTCTTTCTCTTTTGGATTCACTCTGTAAATTTGAACTGCCAATGTTTTGTTTAGCAGCCAAGTGCTTGACTGTTTGCATCTCAAGGGCTCCTTTCTTATTTAGACATCAGTGATTTTTTTTTTTAATTTAAATAGCAACTTGCACTATGCAGGTGATATAACTGCTTGCTCAAACTGAGGAGGACCTGAAACATTTGTTGCTGAAGGTCAAGGACTACAGTCTTCATAAATGGATTGAAGGTCAACGTTAAGAAAAAAGATTCTCCCCACTGGGCCAATTGGCATGATAGATGTCATTTTATATGTATTCCATTTTGCATCTATGTCCAGTCTCCTGCTTAGTGCTTTACATGCATTTTTCCTTTAAAACTATGTACTAATTTGAAGTATAGATGTTATGGCCTCTATTTTATGTATGATGAAACTGGTTATGCCCTTTGTTTTTTGTTGATTTCACAGTCGTAACCCCAGCAAGTGGGAGAATCGGAATTCAGACTGTAGGTATTTGATTTAAAATGCATTAGAAAAGATTGAGATTATTAACAATTTCAGCTTACTTGGTTTAACTGTCAACACTCTTGTTACTAGCAGTTAGGAGATCTAATGATATTAGGAATATCTGCTGCCAGGGAACTCGCCAAAGTGCTAAAGCTCAGTAATGTCAATCTAGAGACTAAGGGGTGCCTGATGCAAGCCATGATCTTAGCAGTTACTTGCTAAGATGGACAGTGACTCAGGAGGATAGAAGAATTGATGCCTTTGAGTTGTGGTGCTGGAGAAATATTAAATATACCATGGACTGCCAAGAGAACAAATATATTTATCCTGGAGAGGAGTAAGCCAAATTGTTCCTTTGAGGCAAGGATTTGAAGCTCCGTCTGACATACTTTGGGCATGTGACATACTTTGGGCATGTTGCTATGAGGGATCAGTTCTTGGAGAAGGACATCATGCTTGGAAGGGTGGAGGAACACTGCAGGAGAGGAAGACCCTGGGTGAGATGGATTGATACATTCACTGTGGCAGTGGGGACAGGTGTGTTCAGAGACAGGCTGGCTGAGGATAGGGCCGGGTTCAGAGCTGTTGTGCATAGGGTTATTGTGAGTCACAGTCCACTCACTGGAATGTAACAACAACAACAACAACAACAACAACTGCATTATGAACCTTTATACTTAAATACTTTTCATTGAGAATATAATTATTTTAGACAAACAAGTTATCATATACTCAGTAATAATGGCTAATTCATAAAACTTTAAGTACTTAAGCTTTAAACTCTTTGTTTAAAGTATATGCAAACTGCTTTAAAGAATGACTGAAACACATCTCTTAACCTAGACTATAGCTCCAAAAGATTCTAAATTCTCTGTTGGTGTTTGAATGTATGACCTTAACGTAGAG